ATCCATCAGGCCTGACTGCCTCTTTCAAAGGGCTTTTAAAGGAATGCCCAGGGGCGGAGCAAAAGACCTCCCCCAGCAGAGCCGAGTGCAGACTGTCCCAGACACCTGGCGACCCTGCCCGAGGCCCAATCATCCCCTCATGCAGCTCTGCTGTGTCAGGCAAACTCGGATCTCACGAGGAAGTTCTGTGGGCTCCCACACAGAAGTGGGAAGACTCTGCTCTCTTCCCTTTTTCAGATGGAAGCCACAGCCACAGCCGAGAGGAGCAAGCCCGAGACAAGTCCAGGTGACGTTACAGCCGCGGTCTCCAGCACAGCCCCGTCACTAGGTACGGTAATTAGTTCTTCCTAAAATAACGCCTTTGAAATATCAGCTCTTTTTGGTCCGCACCTTGGAGTTCTGTGTCTGACCTTGGTCTACTCACATCTACCATGTTCCCGAGTTCCCCATATTGAGGTTTCCCTCTGAGTCCCTTCAGGTTGAGCAAAGCAGTTAGTGCTCTAGCGGGCCACAGATCTTTATACACTTCCCAGGAAAATACACTCTGCCCCTTCTGTTCCTCCGTGACACAAGGAAGAAAGAGAACCATGCTTTAGTACGACAAAATGAGATTTACTTTCAGAGTATTGCAAACTTAACTGGGGTGTGTGAAAGCCCGCTCACTTTCTGTCTTGATGGTGTATGGTACCCTAAGGCAAGAGGCCAAGGAGAACGAAGCCCTCTTCCCCAGCACGGCGAGCACCCTGGGGATCACACTGCTCCCGTGCTGGAGGACTGGACCCAGCACTTTAGGCCCAGGCCCTGGACCAAGTAGTTGAGTTCATACAGCAAACCTCCAAAGCTAAGGGTTCTTCTTACAGGTAAGGATTTAGCTTGTTGTTTGCCGGAGCGAGGTCTAGTGCCCTCTCTACCATCTCTGACCAAATGTGGGTTGAGCTAATTTGGGTTGTAACCTCCTCTACTTTTCCCAACACTATGCATTGGGCAGCCCTAACCACAGGCTCATGATCTCCCTGGGTTTCTTCAGGCCATAATTCTCCTTCTAGTCACCCAACACGTATTTGCTGAGTCCCTGTTCCATGAGGGCCCAGAGCCAGACAACACACAGAAGGCATACCTGCCTGCCTGCCTGCAATGTGGGTCCAAGGGGATGGGTAACCTTGTTACCCTGAGTATTGCTGTGTCTGTGAGGTTGCAGGCTGGTCAGAACACACTGTCCTCACCGTCTGCTATAGCTGAAGTGCAAAATGTCCTCTACGTCCCGTGTGCTTGATTAGTTGGTTCCCAAGACCTTTGGAGACCTTATAGAACCTTCTGGACTCGTCCACCCTCACAGGTGAACATGGGCCAATAGTGGCGTGCCTGTGGCATTTGTAGCCAAGCCCTGCTCCCGTGTTGTGTGTCCCGGTTGGTACCATGCTGCAGACCATGCTCTCACAGATCAGGCTGCTTCAGGTGTCATGTCTTCCCACCATAAAGTATTTCCTGGAACTGTGAACCAAAGCAGACCTCTCCCTGGAGTTGATTCTGTCAAGCTTTCGATGCCACAGGAGTTCCTACAAAGGCCATGTCCTGCAGCTGGGCACTCTGGAGTCACCGTGGAGCTCTAGCAAGAGGCTCTGGCCTGGCCTCAGGCTCCTTGACCAGTCCCTGGGAGACAGTGCCCACCTTCGGGCTCTCAGGGGCTACAGTACTGAGCCAGCGCCAACAGAGCAGAGTAGAGACGCGGGAAGGGGGTAAGGCAGAGGTGTCTGCACAGGACACGGGTGCCATGGGTGAGTCAGCCTGCAGCTGGCCACATCCCTCTTGGCATCTTCTCTGCCACAAGCGGATCAGCTTCTTTTGCTTGAGTTTTCTCCTGTTTATGGAGCAGGTTGATCTGGAGTCCACACATGAGAGAAACAAGTCACGTCTCTGAGCCTGGCTGCTTTGCTCATCTGAACTCTCTACAATACCCTAACTTTATTCTTTACGCGTGGGTGAAACAGCACTGTGAACACACACTGCAGAGTCTTTACTTACTCATCTGTTCAGACACTTACTCTGGCTTTCTAACTTGACTGTGGTGAGGAGCACCGCGGTAAACATGGTGAGCAGGCATGGCTGACTTAACTTCCGCTGGGAACAGCCCCCCTAGCGGTCTGGGCGGATCACTTGATGGTTGACCCTCCGTGCCGAGGGCAAACGTCTCTCTCCTGACATATCCCAGCCAGCATCCGCTGCTCTTTTTTCCTTAACGATGGGCATCATGACGGGGTGGGGTGGGGGGGTCCGGTGTAGCTTTCATTCACATTCCCCGATGACTGGGGATGCTGAACGTATTTTTATATTTATTGGCTATTTGTGCTGCTTTCTTTCTTTCTTTTTTTTTTTTTTTTTGGTTTTTCGAGACAGGGTTTCTCTGTGAACAGTCCTGGCTGTCCTGGAACTCACTCTGTAGACCAGGCTGGCCTTGAACTCAGAGATCCACCTGCCTCTGCCTCCCAAGTGCTGGGATTAAAGGCGTGTGCCACCACCACCCGGCTTGTGCTGCATCTTTTGAGAACTGTTTATTTTGTAATTTTAAGTAGGATTGTTAGGGGTTTAATTTTGTAAGTTTTTTTTTTTTTTAAAGATTTATTTATTTATTATGTACACAGTATTCTGCCTGCATGTATGCCTGCAGGCCAGAAGAGGGTGCCAGATCTCATTACAGATGGCTGTGAGCCACCTCGTGGTTGCTGGGAATTGAACTCAAGACCTCTGGAAGAGCAGCCAGTGCTCTTAAGCTCTGAGCCATCTCTCCAGCCTGGTTTTTGGTACTTTTGTTTAAAAAAAAAAAAAAAAATCAGCTGGCTATATCTGTCCCGTTCTTTCTTTCTTTCTTTTTTTTTTTTTTTTGGTTTTTCGAGACAGGGTTTCTCTGTGTAGCTTTGCGCCTTTCCTGGATCTCACTCTCTAGACCAGTCTGGCCTCGAACTCACAAAGATCCGCCTGCCTCTGCCTCCCGAGTGCTGGGATTAAAGGCGTGTGCCACCACTGCCCGGCAAGTTCAGTTATTTCTTATTGTCTGTTCCACTCCATTGGAATACATGTCTGCCTTGGGGTTGGCGCCATGCTGTCCCTGTCACTGACTCCAGCATCCTGACATGAGCCGTCCCCCCTCATCCCCCACACTGCTCTCTTCACTTGGGAGTGGCTGTCTACTCAAGGTCTTTTATGCTTCTCAGTGAGTTTCAGGATTATTTTTCTAATTCTGTGAAAGATGCATTAGAATTTTGAAGATTTGCATTGAATCCGTGGGTCACTTTCAGTGACAAGGCCATTTTCGCAATATTAATTCCGCCACTCCAGGAGGACAAGATGTCTTTTTGTCTTCTAATGTCTTCTTGAATTTATTTCTCCAGTATTTTGAAGTTTACATTTCTCCAGTACTTGTCTTTGGAGTGGTCTCCCAACTTCCTCGGTCAGGTTTACTTGTAGTTACTGAGTGGAATTCTTTCCCTGCCCCCTTTCTCAGCATGCTCATGGACTGATTTTGTGTGTTGACGTTGTAGTCTACGGCCTCGCAGTATTTAGCTGATTGTCTCATAACACTGAGCGGTAGCTGTGCGTCTTGCTTTCCTTCTCCTCCTCTGCAGAGCGATGCTCTCATCTGGCTGCAGCTTGTGTGACTGCCGTCCAGAGTTTTCTTCCACATGGTGGCCACCCTTTTTTCTTTCTTTTCTTTCTTTCTTTCTTTTTTTTTTTTTTTTTTTCTGAGACAGGGTTTCTCTATATAGCAGTCCTGGCTGTCCTGGATCTCGCTCTGTAGACCAGGCTGGCCTGGAACTCAGAGATCCGCCTGGCTCTGCCTCCTGAGTGCTGGGATTAAAGGCGTGCGCCACCACCGCCCGGCCACCCTTACGTTTCTCAGTGAACACTCCAGCCACTCTGGTAGCCAGAGTGAAGACACTGCCCTAGACTTTCTCACATCCACCTCTCGGACTCACAAACGCCATTTTCCTCCTATTACTGTGGTTGGCTTTGACAGGCACCTTGGGACCACAGAACACTTAGGTCGAAAAGGTCTTGCTTTTAAACATGTTCATAGATGGCAAAACGAACAAGCAAGTAGTAAAGCTATCACTGCCTCAGCGACACCCAAACAAAGGAAGGGACCGCGGTGCTTGCAGTTCTCCTCTGCTCACATCCACGGCTGGGACAGACCCAGTGACCAGCCTGCACACTTCTGGGCAGAGCAGAGTGCGTCAGCTGCCTGGTGGGAAAGGCTTTAGGCCTGAGGAGCACTTTCTGCAAAGTCAAGGCCTTTAGGGGACCATCACCACAGTGTCATAGCCAAGGGCACACAGCCGGGGACACACAGGGTAGATGGGTGATGCTGTCATTACGAAATATTCTGGGTGCCGAGTGACTCCAGCTCACTGGAGATCCAGCTCTTGACACCAACTATGGCAATGTGGAGGTGCCCCCACTTCGATCAGTGTCATTGGAAATGCTGAGGTGCATTGGCAACGGTAGGGTGGGTCCAAACCCCTGCCAGTCCTCGTTCAGAGGGCGGCTGAGAGCACTACACAAGCCAGTGACTGTTTCAGCTCAACTTGCTCTGCTCTGGCAAGGCCTGCAAACACGGCAGCATGCTAGCCTGGAGCTCCACCTAAACAGCCATTTGCAAAATAATTTAGTTTTAGATTCCCCTGTCTTCATCTCCCATCCCTTCCTACTCTTGGTCTAACGGGAGAATCTAGCAACCTTGAACCCTGGACACCCTCCTCACCTCTGGCCAGCAAGCTGCTGTCCAAGTCAGCCGAACATGTCAGGTTTGGTCAACACCATACGGAGACTCAGATCAGGAGGTGGAAGGGAACGGTCAGCTGGAGGCCTGGCTGACCTGCTCGGTTGAATGCAATCATAAAGGGTAGCAGGGCAGCCGGTAGCGCTTCAGGTAATAATTACTGAGGATCATGCTCCCTGTATTTCTAAGAGTTTACAAAGAAATTATATAACAATATCACTCCACACCACTTTAAAAAGCTGTTTAGCATTCTTTATTTGTTAAAAAAAATTGTCATTAAAGATGACTTTTCCTTACAAACTGATCAGAAAGTACAGCCTCCATTTTTGGTGACTTGACTTTGTTTAAATACATCAAGGATAGATAAGTATTGTGACATAAGCATAAAAAATTGACAAATCAAAAACACATTGTCTGGGAACCCACTGTCAGGTGACTCGGCTGGTCTCCTCAGTTTCCCTGGGGAGCCCCAGTGCCCATCAGCGGTCACAGGAATGGGCAGTGCAGGAGGCTGCCACTCAGGGCCTGCCTTGCCTAGGCCTGCCCCCCGGAGCTGTGAAGGCAGGCCAGTGCAGAGTGCTCACTAACTGTGGTCCACCTGACCAGCAGCAAGATTACAACTGTCTCCACACGGTCTGACCCACAGTGAGGCTGAGGGAAAGGACTGCAGGCCAAACCCCTGCTCAAAGCACAGGTCCCTCAGGGTCAGGGACAGGCCACGTCCATCATCCTTCCTCAGCATTGTCTCTGGTCACTCAAAAATCATCTAGTAAGGAGCAGCCAATATGCATTCTCCCCCTTCTGCAACCACCCTGCCTTTCAGTATGTCCTGGAATATGGCAGCATCAAGTATGCATGCCAGCTCGACAGACCACAAAAACTCCAGCACCAGCCACCAGCCACAGATTCCCTCACGCCTGTGAGAACAAGGGCTATTTGTTGTTTTTTCCTAGTTCCCTAAAAAAATGTGAAGTTCTAGTGAAACATTATCAAGAGCTCAAGAGGTTTTGAAAAAGCTCCACATTTCCAGGGGCAGTCACTGTCTCCTTGGAGGGCATCACAGATTCAATCTATGAGCCTCCCGGTTGCCAGCCCTTCGCTGTCAGGAGTCTGGGCAAGCTGGAGAGGGATTCCTTCTGCTCCCTGGTCTCACTGGCCAGCACCTCTCACCTGCAGACACCACTGCTTTACTGAACCTAAAGAAGCAGGCACATCTGGAGCTGTCGGGAAGATTTCCGTGACCTCGCAATACACATGAGGAAATCCTGTTGCATTCCAGAGGAGAGGGCTGAGGCAAGGCACCTGAAGGAAGCAAGCTTTGAGGCAATGAGGAGAAATCATGAAAATATATGCTGCCAGGGATGGTGTCCAAGTAGATGACTCGTGTGACATCCACATGTGAGCAGATGATCAGATAGACGTCCATGTGTGAGCAGATGACTGGATAGATGTCCACGTGTGAGCACATGATCAGATAGATGTCCACATGTGAGCAGATAATCGGATAGACGTCCATGTGTGAGCAGATGACTGGATAGATGTCCACGTGTGAGCAGATGATTGGATAGACGTCCACGTGTGAGCAGATGACTGGATAGATGTCCACGTGTGAGCACATGATCGGATAGACGTCCATGTGTGAGCAGATGACCGGATAGACGTCTATGTGTGAGCAGATGACTGGACAGACGTCCATGTGTGAGCAGATGACCGGATAGATGTCCATGTATGAGCAGATGACTGGATAGACGTCCATGTGTGAGCAGATGACTGGATAGATGTCCACGTGTGAGCAGATGACCGGATAGACGTCCACGTGTGAGCAGATGATCGGATAGACGTCCACGTGTGAGCAGATGACCAGATAGACGTCCATGTGTGAGCAGATGACCAGATAGACGTCCATGTGTGAGCAGATGACCGGATAGACGTCCATGTGTGAGCAGATGACCGGATAGACGTCCATGTGTGAGCACATGATCGGATAGACGTCCATGTGTGAGCAGATGACCGGATAGATGTCCATGTGTGAGCAGATGACCGGATAGACGTCCATGTGTGAGCAGATGACCGGATAGACGTCCATGTGTGAGCACATGATCGGATAGATGTCCACATGTAAGCAGATGATCGGATAGACGTCCACGTGTGAGCACATGATCGGATAGACGTCCATGTGTGAGCAGATGACTGGACTAGGTCCGGCAGAGCTTCAGCGGGAAATTCTCCGTGATGAGGTGATCAGCATGAAGAAGGACCACCACATTAACCTCAAACTCTGCAGGGAAGAGAGAGACGCTCACTCACACTGAGCACTGGAAACAGTCTCACGGTGAGGCAATGTCCAGGTGCTGCCTGGGCTTCAGTGTCTCCCTGGACTCTCTGTAGACCCAGTGAGCCCCCACACTGCATGTGACTGCCACTATAAACTTCTCTACTTAACTGTCTTGTCGGCCCACAGTGTCAGCCTGACAGAGTGGCCACACCTACAGTTCCAGCACTTGAGAAGCTGAGGCAGGAGGAAAGCAGTGAGCTTGAGGCCAGCCTGGGCTAGAGCCAGTTCCAGTATGGCCTATGCTACAACAAGACCCTGGTGGTCCTGTTGTGTTAAACAAGGAAAGCAGAGTCAGTTGGTTCAGCTGCTGTGCCTTGGAATCAGCTGAGGTGACATTTGCTGAAACACTTGGTTCTTGCATTCCTGCAGTCAAGCTTTCCTTCACTGGTTTTTCACTCTTTACGGGTAAAAATCACAACACGGGATGAATGTGAAGAGGAAGTACCCCAAACAAAATTGAGCCCCTGTCTTTAATTTTGCTGGTATGGGCAAAGAGATCCTGGCACCACACTGCAGAAACTCAGCTCTGGGCAGGGTTTTGGGGTGTATATACTCATACATGGACCCATGCAAATACACGTAATTAAAAATAATAAGTTGCATAAAAAAAAAAAAAACATGGAGAAGTGTTTTCCCAGGGTCAGTCCCCAAGGAGCACAGAGGCCACCACATCTGTGGTAGAAGGAGGCCAGAGCTCAAATCAATGTGGCAGCAGTGTCCACACTGGCTTTATGGGTATGCAAAATGCTAAGGTGACGGTGTTACAGAAATGTGTACAAGTGTTTCAGAAAGCCAGAGGCCAGGTGGGGCATGCCAGGGTCAGCTCCCTGCAAGAGGCCCTGAGAGAGACCACTGTGGAGCTGTGAAGTTGTACCCAAGGTGGGAAGCCCCAGAATGTTGGAGAAGCAAGGACTGAGAAACTTCTGCCAAGGAAAGCTTCGGGCAAGAGAAGTTGGCCAAAGACAGCAATTCCATTTACTGCCCTAGCACTGGATGGGTGGGGCTACCCAGAGCTCCGGGAGCCCCGATGCCAGACATGGTGATCAGACTTGGTATCTGACTGACCTGCTGGGCTTCAGTACTGCTTTGATTCAACTTTCTTTCTCTCTCTCTCTTGCCTTGGCCTGTTGTTACTCTTTCTGAATGGGAATGTTGGTTCTGTGCCTATGTTGAGAGCATGCTATTTGTCTTTTGAGTCTCAGAAGCAGCTCTGGTCTTTAGATCATGGGACTTCTGAAGCTGAGATGAATGCTGTTGTTGTAGGGTGATGTGTTCTGGCCAGGCTGTCAGAGTGCACTGTGGTTGACCTTTATTGTCACCTTGACTAGATCTGGAGTCACGTAAGAGACACATCTCCTGGTATTCCTTCAAGGGAATCTCTAGAGATGTTTAGCTTAGGAGGGAAGACCTGCCTTGAATTGGGTGGCACCATCCATGGCATGGGGTCTTGGCCTTAATAAAAAGAAAACAAGAAAGCAAACCTGATACCAGCATTTATCTGTCATCTGGTTCACCTAGATGTGGGCAGGCAGCCTCCAGTCGTGGATTTTCCACCACCAAGGACTAAACCCCCCAATCGTGACCCACAATAAACCCACCTTCCTTTACTGTTTTTTGTTAGGTATTTGGTCACACACTACCTACATGACAACTGGAATGGCTTTTTCTAGAGATCACGGTGTCTTTGCTTGGCTCAAGTCTGACTTTGAAGGGGGCCTTCAGTTGGCTTTAGTGTCCTGCATATGCAGCTTCTCACTGAGGCATTATTGAGAAATCAAAGAGCTGAATGTAGTAGGCTGTGACTACTGCACGCCTGTGTGCAGGGGGTCTGTGTGCAGGGGGTCTGTGTGCAGGGGGTCTGTGTGCAGGGGGTCTGTGTGCAGGGGGTCTGTGTGCAGGGTGCTTCTTCCCTATGGACCACACCCTTTCCCTGGCACTGGACTGCTTACCCACTTTGAAGTTAGTGGTCTCCAGGGTTGGGCAGGTGAACAGTCTGGGAAAGACCATGTACAGAGGGACAGAAAGGTTTCTACAAATGTCCCCATCAGCGATTTGAATATTCTGAATTTCTGTGGCATCACGTGCGTAGCCTTCTGCACACCCTGGGGAAAGAGGAAACAGCATGGGGTCAGGACACCACCACACCAAAGCAAACTAGTCAACAAACCCGTCCAGTGCTGTGCCAAGGAGCACCAACACATTTACCAACACAAACCCAGTTTGTTCCTTGGGCCTGGGAGTTCCCTTCCTGGCACTTCTCACTTCCTCAAACATCACCACACCGGTCTGACAGTGCTCCCAAGACTTCGGGGGCTGGGAACCTAATGCCCCAATTACTATTTCAAGGATTATCTGCAAGTGGGGTCTTTGGGGGCAAGTAGGCATCGGAACAGCTTGGTTACAAAAATGAGGTATCTGGCACATCTGCTCTGTTATGATGCGATGTCCCCCACCAGGTTATAACTATAGGAAGGGAGGGCTCAGTGGCTGACAACACTTCCTGCTCATGCAGTGGACCCAAGTTCTTTCCCCAGCACTTACATCAGGCAAATCACAACTGCCTCTTAACTCCAGTTAAAGGGATCCAACACTCCTTTACAGCCTCCCAGGTACCCAAACACATGTCACAGACTCACAAGAGTGGGGGACAGATATCTGTTCAGCATCTGATGGCTTTGTGCTGTATTACAACATGGCAGAAGCTATCACATAGTCAAGTACAGCTCGCCAGCCTGAGAGAGCTCCATATAACAGTGCTCTCCTGAGACAAGCCATAACCGTCATGAAGACAGTCACTCCCCAAAGCTCTGACTCTCAACACTGCTGTGCCAGGGACGAAGTTTCTGATACACCGCTTTTGGGAAGCACATTCAAAGCAAAAGATATGTCTCTGTGGCCCAAAGCTATTCAAATTTCCCTAAGCAGCCAAAGCCCAGGAGCATGGCCATCATCAGCAAATGAGGTTGCCATATCCATGATGTGTGGCGACGGCCCTTACTTCACTGGTTTTCCATACGAGGTCTGGGAACCTCCTGTACCACTCCCAGGAATCAAAGGAAGCGTTTTTTAAAGCCCGGATCCCCTGGTTCCCCGGGACCACTGCACATCTGAATTAGGATCTTTGAGAATGGAGCTTAGGCACGCACACATCAGCAAGCTCCAGGAGAATGAGCACGAATGAGCGTGAGAGCATCCACCTCACAAGAGCAGAGACTTCTAAGGGGAGCCTCGTGTGTTAAACCACCCAGCACCTCCATCCTCTCCAGGACTGCCTGGGGGTGACGGACAGACAGAAGCCTTACCACAGGTCTCCACCCGCACCAGCTGAAGCTCTATGCTCCGGATGGCAGCATCCGAATGCTCCACCACCAGCTCTCCTGTCAGGGGCTGCGTGATTGCACAGTTGGTGGAGTTGAGATGTCCTCTGATGAGGAATTTGGGAAGTGAGGCCCTCTACACAAAAAGAGATAAACAAGACCTCAGGAACAGACGGAGAAGAGCCGTTAGTTATCCCAGTGCGTCGGTACAAGGAAGAACTGAAAACCAGTTGGGTAATTGTTCTGTAAAGTACCGATACCCTGTTTTACAGAACAAGGATAGTAAATGGTGTTACCACCGGCCAGTGGACACCAGACCGATCCTCAACCACCCTGTAGACATAAAGGACAAACAGACATGGCCAGCTCTGGAGAATCAACTCACTGCCTACACTGACTGAAAAGCTCCTTCACCAGGCAACAAGACATAAAATGTAAAAAGCCTGGGAAGTCGACAAGGGTGATTAAGGACAACCACTCCCTCAACCCCAAGCTGAAATAAACAAACAAATAAATAAAAGAAAGAAAGAGAAGAAAAACAGGTCTAAGAAAAAAGAAAAAAGTGGTCAGTTTTACACCGTTCCCAATGAGGCAAGGTTGGAGGCAGTTGTCTTTATTTCTGGGATATTGAATGAGCGGCTTTTCTCAATGCCTGATGAAAAGCTTTGGGACTTTCTCTGCGTCAGGAAGCTGGCCAAGGGGAACTGGCAGGTGCTGAAGGAAACAGCTGGACAGCTGTTTACGAGTCTTCCTCTGTCTTGTCCCACTATCCAGTAGAAGCAACATAAGCCAAAATTTAGCATCACTTAGAATCTGTAATTGCCTATGAGTACAATTTAAACTTCCTGGCAGCCACACTAAAAATTTTAACAGTGTATCTAAAACGTTACCACGTCTGCATACAGTCGATGAGAAGTATGCACGCTATAGCTCAGCTAGAACACTGCTCGCCTGGCAGGCAAGGACTCTGGCTCCAAACCAGGCACGGAAGCAAGTGTCTGTCATCCTAGCACTCAGGTGGCGGCAGGAGGGTCACAAGTTCAAAGTCATCCTCAACTAAATAATTCAAGGCCAATCTGGGACACATGAGGCTGTCTCAAAAAAAAAAAAGTCTAAGTGATGCTTTGCATTCTCGTGTTCAAATCGAGTCTCTGGGACGGACGGGGCGGGCACTCTCAGCCAGCCGCATCTTGAGTGGCCGTGGTCACCCAGGGGTGGCAGGCGCCAGACTGGTACAGCTCACAAACACCAGCGGTTTCTCACCCAACGAACCGTCTAGACGTGTGGGTGGAAGACAAGTTTGGAAACACAAGGAAAACGAGTTGATTTCAGAAAAGTAGACAGCAGCAGAGGCTCACCCAGCTTGAGGCCGCTCGTGAAAAAGTGCCTTCCAGTGTCATTCTCAAGAGTCCTGCAGACACTTGTGTCCCTCTCCCCAGAAGTGATGTACAACACACGCACACCACTGCATGGTGGTGATGTACCACACACACACCACTGCACGGTGGTGATGTACAACACACGCACACCACTGCACGGTGGTGATGTACCACACACACTACTTTTGGTCTCATCTCCTGCCTTCCTATATTTTCTGCAGACTTCTTATTCTTCCCCCAAATTCCTTTTATTTACTTAGAAAAGAAAAATCACCAGTTATTTTATAAATAACTATGTGTTATACAAGGTTTTTAAAATATAGCATGTGCTAGGTGGTGGTGGTGGTGGTGGTGGTGGTGGTGGTGGTGGTGGTGGTGGCGGCGGCGGTGGAGGAGGCGGCGGCGGCGGCGGCGGCGGCGCACGCCTTTGATCCCAGCACTTGGGAGGCAGAGGCAGGCGGATCTCTGTGAGTTCGAGGCCAGCCTGGTCTACAGAGCGAGATCCAGGACAGGCACCAAAACTACACAGAGAAACCCTGTCTCGAAAAAATGAAACAAAACAAAAAAGAATGGCATCAGTCATGACTCCAGTATCCCAAATCTCCCAGACATGCCTTCAACCCAGCTACGAGCATGAGCAAAATGCAGACTTGAGTAAAGAAGCCAAGTTCTAGGCGGAAAAGAGCTACAAACAGCACTGCTTGCTCTGAGATAGAATCATTTACTAAAAACCAAAAAACTGGCCGGGCAGTGGTGGCGCACGCCTTTAACCCCAGCACTCGGGAGGCAGAGCCAGGCGGATCTCTGTGAGTTCGAGGCCAGCCTGGTCTACAGAGCGAGTTCCAGGAAAGGTGCAAAGCTACACAGAGAAACCCTGTCTCGAAAAACCAAAAACCAACAAAACAAACAAACAAACAAACCTGGGGAAATTTTCTGGTAGTGGGGCAGAGTGCTAATGCAAGAAGGCTGGCCACCGTAACTAATTGCTTGGTGCAGGTGGCCCAGCAGAGGCCTGCGGGGAGCTGCCTCCAAGATCCAAGTGCCCTTGGTTCTCACGCTAGGAAATCTGCTGGTGCTGCCCTGTCCCGTGTCCTTGCTGTCCACCCCCACAAACAGGTCTCTGACTGGAATGCCAGTGAGAGACTGCAAGCTAAGCCTCAGCAGGGACGAGAGGCCAAGGCCCAGTGCAGACCAAGGAAATAAAGGAGCAGGACGGGAGCAGGAGTAATGGCGCTCAGTGCACAGGCAGGAAGCGACCAGCCGGGTGCAGTGGTGCATGCCTGCGGCCGGGACAATGGCTGCAGGAGGCCAGCCAGGGCAATGCAGTGAGACATCACCATGGCACGAGAACGAGGTCATGAGCATGTGAGGAGTCCTAAAAGGACTGTCTTTTTCCCCCTAAGTGATTATTGAGCTCAATATGAAATCAGTCTGAAACCTCCCCTTGGGTACAAACACCATCAGAAACCTCGGTCACTGACCCCTCAGTTCACAACTGGGCAGTGAACTGGGTCAAGTTACTAGGAAAGCCACAACACACAAGTGTGAGTGAGGAATGAGTACCTCTTTGACGTTCTGCAAGGTTTCCGGAGTGATCGTGAAGTCAACGGGACTTGGAGTCAGCTTCCCCTTCTGAGGCTGAAAAGGAGGTAAAACCACAGTCAGCAGGGCGGACCTGGGGGTGAGCAGCTTTTCCTTTCTGACAAAAATGAATGGCGGCACAGGACACTAACTGGAAGGACGTGGTGGTGAGAAGCAGGGGATGTGATTCCACACAAACCTAGGTCCACCCTCCCCAGTACTGTTCCATCTGTATGCCAGGGCCAGATGTCTCCATCTGGGACCTTCTGGGCTCAGAACTGAAGTCAGACCTAAGGAACACAATGGTGAGGCTGGGAGATAAGAACTGCTGCCACCTCACACGTGACAGAGAAGTACATGGAGCTCAAGGACTTCTCACTGTGTGCAGAGTTGAACCAGACTGGCCAGTGCTGCTTGCCATTAGCTCGAGAGCTTTCTACTAGAAGGAACATTCCAGAATCCATTCACACGGCCAGGCTACACGGAAGCCTGCCTGGCACCACAGCCAAGGGCCAGGATCCAAAAGGCCAGCAAGACCCAAGACCCAGAGATGCAGAGAGGGCGCAGCCAGTGTGCCAAGTCCACTCACTTCCCAAAGGCTTATTCCACAGAGTTCTCTTCTCAATGCCCTCTAGCTCAACAGGTTCACAGCCTGTTTTCTTGTCAGAATGTTCTTCCTGCTGCCCGAAAGTAACACTGAACTTGCAAACCACATGCCAAAGTAAACTGTAGCCTTTCTGTGAGGACTCCAATAACAGTTCTTCTTTCTTTCTTTTTCCTTCCTTCCTTCCTTCCCTCCCTCCCTCCTTCCTTTCTTTCTTTATTCCTTCTCTCTCTTTCCTTCCATCTATCTATCTATCTATCTATCTATCTATCTATCTATCTATCTATCTACCTACCTATCTACCTACCTACCTACCTACCTACCTACCTACCTACCTACCTACCTACCTACCTATTTTTGAGGCAGAGTCTCTCCACATAGCCCTAGCTGTCTTGGATCTCCCTCTGTAGACCTGGCTGGCCTTGAACTCACAGAGATCCACCTGCCTCTGTGTCCCAAGTGCTGGGATTAAAGGCGTGTGCCACCACACCCAGCCTTCTTTGGTTTTTTTGAGACAGGATCTCACCACTCTGTCACAGCACAGGGTGGCTTTGAGCACACCATGTAGCCCAGGCTAAAGCTGAATTCCTGGGGACCATCCTCCCTTCTGAGCACTAGAATTACAAATGTGAGCTGCCGTGCTTGACTAACAGAATTCTTGAAAGCCCTGTGGTGACAGAATACCATGAACACAGATGGGCCCTGGACAGTGCAGTCATTGCTCTGGGCCTGATCATCTTAGGAGGGCTCTGTACTCACAGGGTAGGGACTTCAGAGAGACCCTGGGCTCAGGGCTGAGTTAAGACTTACTGTTCTTCACAAAATGTAAAGCTTTCCATATTATAGCCATAAAAGGCTCTAAGTTTGTTTTAGGACATAAAGCCCCAAACACTTTAACGTAGATTACTTAAAGACCTTTGATGGAAAAAGAATAGCCACCTTTTAAAACATGTAATTTCAAAGCCAAAACAATGTAATCATAGTTTACACAAATTAGGAGCTCTAAGTAGGTGGCTACAATACTAGGGTCCTAAAAATGTCCCCAAATGAAGGAGTGCAAATGAGGGCCCCGGTGACGACTTCGCTGACATCACGAGGAGACTCCAATCCTGCACTGCGACCCACTCTCAAAGCATCCCAAAGATGTCACATCACAGTGTGACACAAATCCACATGTGACCCTCCTGACCCGCCAACCACCCTCGCAGACGCCCTGCCCGAGTCCCTCTTCACCGAGGTGCACAGTGCAGTGGTGGGATCCAGTGGGCTGGATCCAGCACCAACATGGCAATGGTATATGGAGTAGCCTGGTCAGAAATGCTCGTGAGCGAGCACGGCACTGTACCCCTGCCCTGTCCACAGAGCTCCCGCAGAGGTGGTGGAGCAGGCCTTTCCAGCTCCCTGAAGGCCTCAGAGCAGGTTCCTCTGGCTGACACTGTTCAGCAACCCAGCTGCGCTATCCCAGGTAGCTCTCCAGGCAGGTTCCTCCAAGGTCCCTCTCAAGGATCCTACCTCAGTCCTGGAACTCCTTGGACAACCAGTCTGATGGAGGGAACAGCAGGATATGGAGGAGACAGACTGACCACTGGCCAGGGCTGAGAGTGGTGCTCCCAGGACACAAAGGCCAACATGTGGCTGCCTCTGTGACATTAGCCCTAGTGAGCTCTGAGAGACTGTTCTGGGGATGTATCTGCACCACATGTCACACCAAGGGGAAGTGTTGCCACTGTTGATTCTCTGTGATCACGCAGGCCAGTGGTTCCGACATCCCAATGGGGCGACCCTTTAACACAGCTCCTCCTGATGTGGTGACCCCCCGCCCCGGCCATACAATTATTTCTGTTGCTCCTTCATAACTGTAATTCTGCCACTGTTATGAACTGTAATGTAAGTGTCTGCATTTTCTGACGTTCTTAGGTGACCCCTGTGAAAGGGTCATTGAGAACTGCTGATGTAGGTTATGGCCTACATCAGCCTACTTGTTATGAACGCCCCCAAGTAACTGCAGCAGCGGTGGCCAGGGACCAACTACCCAAGATGGCACGGAAAGGCATTTTTAAGAATTTGTTACTGCAAAGTATAGGCACAAAGTGTGAGGATCGGAAAGAGACAGGCCTGCACATCCCATGTTCTCACAGGGCACCGAGTGCCAAGCATGAAAGCAGTCTGTCTCTGGTGTTTGCCACAGCAACCTGAGGGCCAAGGTGGGTGTCTCCTTTGCAGAGACAGAACAGTGCGCTTGCTGCTTGTCATAAAATGGGTTTCCTGAGATGCAGACCCAGAGGTGGGTGTCATTGAGCTACAGAAATAGTGCCCATGCTGGTGCTCATGCCACCAGTGTCCCATCAGGGGCCTCGCGTCCCCGCCGGACCCAGCTTACTGGCTTGTGAACGGGTGCTATCCCACTTCTCACAAGAGAGCCTAGGGCTTACCGCAGAGTGAACGATGAATTCGCAGGTCTTGGTCAGGTCCTTGGCCAACAGGGACCGCCGCATGTCACAGCGCAGTGTGTACTAGAGGAGAAGTAGGAGAAACAAACGTCATCTCAGTAGGCTTTGCTTTTATCTAGACACAATGTCCAAAGGACAAGTAGTCAACATATTTTAAGGACCTTTAGCCAATGGATGTGTTTCATGCAGTTGATATACCCGAGAGGAATTAATGTGCAAACTACGGGCATTTCTAAACGAAACACACGCAGCTGTTCCCACAGGCAGGGTGTGGGAGGTAAGAACAGGTAGCAGAACACAGGGGCTTGAAGGCTCGACGCAGCTGTCCACCTCCTGTGTGAGCCCAGACACAACACAACCCCTCTGAGCTGCAGCTTCCCTCTGCAACCCGGGGATATGGAGGTGGACCTGTGACGGGATCCATGAGCTCCACTCTGGATGTTAAGTGTGAGGGGCCAGAGCCAAGTTCAGCCACACTGTCCTGAAGAGTTTTTCATTTACCAACAAGAAGCCATGGATGATAACATGAAAAAAGAAAAAAAAACAGAACTCCAGGGAATCCTACAAACTATTCGTGTGTATTTTAAAGAAGAAACAAAGATGGTGTTTTTAAAAATTTTAAATTCAGAGACATAGAAGTAAGAAGACTGGGATTAATGTCCATGTCCAGTCACCACAGAGCCAGCCTCCTTTCCCAGCAGTCTTCTCAGCCCTGTCCATCAATCTCCAGATGGAGCCCCAGGTGAACCAAAGGGCGGGAGAGAGGGGCACGGGAGACGCTGCCTTTGCCTTTGGCTTGTTCACTTTTCTGAGTGTGTGGCGGCTTTGCTGAGCTTGTCACTGCTAGAGGAGTTCCTGCTGTGAGGAGCCTCTGTCCTCCTCAGGAACTGGGCACTGTAGTGTGGCCACTAAGCTTACCTGGTTGTGGCACAGGAACTGTGGCCTTAAATCAGGCAGCCCAGAAACCATTTCAGTTAACTTACAGTATTGATATATGAGCTGTTACAAGGGGGATGGAGAGATGGCTCAGTGGTTAAAAGTACTTGCTGCTCTTGCAGAGGACCTGGCTTTGATCTTTATTTAACTCCAGTTCCAGGGGATCTGATACCCTCTTCTGGCCTCCATGGTCACTGCATGCATACGGTGCAGACACACACGCAGGGAAACACCCACATATGAAATAAACTTTTAAAAACAGTTGTCACTAGTGCGGACAAAGGCAGAGGCAGGCGGAGCTCTGTGAGTTCTAGGCCAGACTGGTCTACATAGTGAGTTCCAGGACAGCCAGGGCTGTCTCTCTCAAACAAACAAACAACGAAGGAGTTGTCCCAAGGCTACTGTAAGGACAGTCATCAACTCCTGTGCTCATCACTCGCAGATAAGTCACTGTGTGACAGGCCTGTGTGACATCCTGTATGACATCCTGTGTGACAGGCCTGTGCCCAGCTCTTCATGTCATTCTCTCGCTAATCTTCTAGCAGCAAGGTTAGGCAGGCTGCTGGAGGAGGTTCAGAGGTGGCATCTGAACTGATCCCTGCCCACTGCCAAAACCTGTACCAAATCCTTGCACAGTGTGATGGCAGCGCTGTAACTCAAGCCCAGATCTACCTGCTCTACCCCTGTGTCATCATCATCATCATCTTCATCATCATCATCATCATCTTCTTCTTCTTCCTTTTTTTTTTTTTTTTTTGAGACAGGTTTTCTCTGTGTAGCTTTGTGCCTCTCCTGGATCTCACTCTGTAGACCAGACTGGCCTCGAACTTACAGAGACCCTCCTGCCTCTGCCTCCCGAGTGCCGGGATTAAAGGCGTGTGCCGCCGCCGTCGCCGTAGCCGTATCTTCTTACTCTATAACTAGCTTTCCCAGGTCCTAAGGAACCAGCAAAGTTATCAAGAGATACAAGGTCAGATTTTTCTTTAAGGTTAAAAATTATGTGACTGGGTCTGGAGAGATGGCTCAGAGGTTAAGAGCACTGACTGTTCTTCCAGAGGTCCTGAATTCAATTCCCAGCAACCACATGGTGGCTCACAACCACCTGTAATGAGATCTGGTGCCCTCTTCTGACCTGCAGGGATACATGCAGGCAGAACACTGTATACATAATAAATAAATAAATCTTTAAAAAAAACATGATGTGAGCGATATGGCTGTCTACATGTACGTATGTGCAGGTGAAGGAGCTGCCCACGGAGGCCAGAGGCATGGGGTTCCCCTCGAGCTAGAGGTACAGGTGGCTGTGAGCTGCCACTGTGAGTTCTAGGAACTAAACTCTGGTCCTCTGCTAGAGCAGTGAGTGCTTTTAACCACTGAACCATCTCTCCAAAACACACACACACACACAATTTTTAACTGTGAAAAGGGAGACTAGAATTTTTATAAATTCTGGATAGGAGATTTTAGCAGACATGTTGGTACTGTTATATGTCTGCGCTATAATATAAAATTTTGCAAGTATAGCCACAAGAGCAGAACTCAGTAAGAAGTAACAAGCAAGCCTCCGCAAGTCAGGAATTTAAAATAGGTTACGCTTTCAACCCTTAGTTTTGTCTCTGATATTTACATTACACTACTACAATACAACTCAAATTATAATGAGAAAGTTTCTTGTGTCTATATAATTTGAGAAAGCATTAGGATTCAACAACAAAGCTTTTGCCATGTGGTGGTGGTGCACACACGTTTAATCCCAGCACTCTGGAGGCAGAGGCAGGAGGATCTCTGTGAATCTGAGGCCAGCCTGGTCTACAGAGCGAGTTCCAGGACAGGCTCCAAAGCTACACAGAGAAACCCTGTCTCGAAAAACAAAAAACAAAAGTAAACAAAGCTTTTATTCAAGGTAACGTACCTATGTACATTAAGGTAATCTTCAGAAGAGCATGCAAAAAATCGGCGCCATGAGTGACATGCTGGGAATGCCTATGCTGAGATGAGCCCTGTGACCACAGCAAGACATTGTCCTCTCTGGATGACGCTTACTGACAGAGAAGCTGGGCAAGACCTGTCAAATACAGGATGGATGGATGGATGGATGGATGAAATGGAGCAAATAATCCTAGATTCTACTAAGTAGATTTTCTCAAGAGAAAATGTACACTTGCATATGAGCTATTTGCGAATCTATGATCGTTTTGATAAAAACGTTCAGTAGGATTCTGTGTAGTCTCCAGGCTTTGGAGATGGATGCTGAAGTTCTGAGACATGAAGTGCACAGAGACTGTGCAACTGACTTTCAAATGACTCAGAAATAAACACAGATGAGAAAGGATGGCCAGGCTGGGATGCAGCTCAGGGATGCAGCATATGCCTAACACAGCTGGGTTCCAACTCCAGCTGCGTGGAAAAAATATTAATCACTGGTAAGTGGTGATAAGCCTGAGGCTCAGGTAAAAAGAAATTGCATCTTTACAAATTTTTAAGATATTTGGGGCTAGGTACAGTTCCGTGTTGTAGCTGAGGTTAACCCTAAAGTGGGAAAATCTGATGACCAAGAAGAAAGTAGGGTGGGGGCATCATCAGCTCTGCCAGAGAACTCGCCACATACTAACACTCTCATGCATCTAAGAGGTCCCAGTACATACACAGTCAGGGAACACACTCTACATTTATATTCTTAGTAGCATTTGGAAAAGGATGAGACTTCCAATCTAACTTTAAATAAATCAGTTTTTTTCCTCTTAAGTGACAACAAACAAAAGAGACTATGTGCTGTGGGATGTTCTGTATGGCAAATGTGTTGCTGATTAGTTAATAAATAAAACACTGATTGGCCATTGGCTAGGCACAAAGTGTAGGCGGGACAAGGAGGAGAATAAAGCTGGGAAGTGGAAGGCTGAGTCAGAGAGACACTGCCAGCCGCCACCATGACAAGCAGCATGTGAAGATGCCGGTAAGCCACGAGCCACGTGGCAAGGTATAGATTTATGGAAATGGATTAATTTAAGCTGTAAGAACAGTTAGCAAGAAGCCTGCCACAGCCATACAGTTTGTAAGCAATATAAGTCTCTGTGTTTACTTGGTCGGGTCTAAGCGGCTGCAGGACTGGCGGGTGAGAGAGATTTGCCCTGACCGTGGGCCAGGCAGGAAAACTCCAGCTACAACTATGACCAGAAAAACTGATCTTATTCCAGTAAGTTTCCTTTTAATTTCTGTGTGTGAGTGTGGCGGGTGTGGTGTGCACCACAGTGCACATGCAGAAGTCAGAGGGCAACTAAGGAGTTGACTCTCCCTTCCATCGTGCAAGGCTTACAGACAGAGCTCAGGCTTGGCAGCAAGCGTCTTTACCTGCTGAACTACTAGTGCCAGCCCTCCACTCAGGTTTTGAAATTATGTAGATGTGTGGTGTGTGTCTTTGGGTATACACATATGCACTGAGGTACCCTCATGGCGCTGAGTTCCAGGTACTTGTGAACAGCTTCACGTGGGTGCTAGGAACCAAACTTGGATCTCTTCAAGAGCGCTACCCAGTCTTAACCGCTGGGACCACTTTCCAGCACCATTTTTGTTTTTTAGATTTATTTTTATGTGTGAATGCATTCATGTGCTAGCATTCACGTGTGTGTGTGTTATTACTTGAAACAGGTGTATGAGAAAGAGGGCTGAAACTTTTTTTTCATAGAAAGGTAGCTTTTGCAATGGAGTACAGCATCCTATGTCATTCACCTTGACAGATTTTCAAGCAATTCATGAATTTCACATAAGACTAAACCTTTAGTTAACATTCCCAAAGGTTTTAAGTTGTTTTTTTAATGTGCTAGGTTTTAAGCAGATGAGTGGTATTTACTAAGTCCGAATGTGATTAACTGAAACCTGATTAACAAATCAAGCAACTGTCCAATCTCCTGCTTTCTTGTGCATCCTAAGACTCAGGGTTTTCTTACTTAGCAGGGGAGCCACTGCAAGGCAGACTACACAAAAGTGCCTTTCTTCGCACTGAAGGAAGGAAGGGGCTCTGGCTCTGGCTGAGTCATGACTGGGCTCTGCTCCTGAGACAATAGCAACTGTGGAAGCCATCCCTCACAGCAGAGGTAGACAGGAAGTCATAAATCCACTTCCCCTCATTTACAAGATTTGCTCAATGAAGAATACAGCCTATGTTGAAGCGGCAGCCTTTGGGTATTGCACAAAGAGATACTCATAAGAATGAAACAGACAAGTTAGTGCTGCCAGAAAGAGCCTGAAGCAGATCTGTGCCCCTGATGGTGTCACTGTGGCCTGAGAAAAATGCAGAGAACAAAGGAACTTTAAGGAAGAAGTAATAACCATCGTTCCTACTCAACACAAGGGTCACAGGGCTCAGGGTGTAACTTTGTGTTGCAGCGTGTGTGAGGCTCAGGGTTTAATCCCTCACATTGCAAAAACAGTATGTCATACATAGAAGTAGTTAGCAGGACAGAGTAAGAAACTGATACAGCATATACATGAGCAGTCTTGGAATTAATCATTATTAGGGTTTGAGTTCAACTATGTCAGTAAAGGAAAACGGTCAAGTTGTCCTCAGCAGAAAAACAAAGGTGTCGAGTATGTAGGGCAGGAACTCACCTGAATGTTCACAAACACGCCGTGGTAGGTCTCATACAGGACTTTGCTGCCCTTGACATGCAGAGGAAACTCAAAGGGAATCTCAGTCTTGCCACTGGGGAGCTTCCCTGGCTTCAGCACGTCTATGGTGCTGTTGAGAATCTGGATCGGCTGTCAACACAAATCAGCTTCAGCCATCGGCACACACTGGGTCTGTCTGTCCCTGTAGTCACGCTAGCAGCGGGACATGAATACTCCTACTCTTGCTGTGTCGAAAGCACAGGGCTGGGGCTGGACACAGAGAGCAAGTTGCTTCCGTCATCAAAGTCTGCACATTGGCTCCTTTCTTTTTTTGGTTTTTTGAGACAAGGTTTCTCCGTGTAATTTTGGTGCTTGTCCTGGATCTCGCTCTGTAGACCAGAACTCAGAGATCCACCTGGCTCTGCCTCTCGAGTGCTGGGATTAAAGACGTGTGCTACCAACCGCCTGGCTGGTTCATTTCTTTAAAAATTGTTACTACATTTAGTTAATTTAGTGAGTGTGAGTGTGTGTGTGTGGCGCACACATGCCACCACAGTTTGCATGTGGGAGGGAGTCAGAGGACAACCTGTGGAGCTCAGTTTGCTCCCCGCACTGTGTAGGTCCTAGGGATCAAATTCAGGCTGTCAGCTGTTGAACCATCTCACTGCTCCAACAATGGTTCAAACCCAGGCCACTGAGGTGCTGTCCACAGTAGGAGCTGAGCTCAGGTGTGCCTGTTTCCTGCTCCAGCGCCTCACTGGACTGTCCTGAGAACCCTACATGGAGAATAAGTAAGCAGGCCTACCACGAGGCTGCTTGGCCAGGCTGGCCGACATGTGGCCCAGGACTACTCCGTACCCGCCATCTCTCAGCACTGCTACCCAATTCCCACAGCCCTCAGCCTCCTCTCAGTCCTCAGCCTCAGCACGGCAGCTCTGGGGCAGGGGAGGCTTCTCCTCTAGCCCCAGCTCCCCACATAGACTCCTCAGAGGGGTCCACAGAGAGGAAAATAGGAATATCATTCAGGAAGCCGAGTTTTTACAATCTGTATTTTATTTTATTTTGAGATTGAGTCTCCTGTATACTGCAGACTGGCCTCAAAGTTCAGATTCTCATTGCCCCTGCCTCGGCCTCCAGAGCACTGGACCACAGCATGGACCTCCACCTCCAGCTGCTTCATGTTTTAAAGCTTTGGTTTAACATCACCTCGGGAAAATTCCTAATGAATTACAATTAGACAGATGCAAAAACCTAGATCACCACTAAACCTAAATAAGTTCATGTGCTCCTCCTCACAGGCTTTTTCCTCAAATAGAGCTCACACAGCCTTCAGGGAGAAAAAAAAACCCCTAAGTTTGGGGAACTTTCTAGAATATAAACTCTACCCTACAAGAGCTCCCTGCTCAAAGTGCATCTCAGTGTGAAGTTCAGCAGGAGCAGTGTACAGAAAGCGTGATAAACAAGGCAAGAGCCACAGGCCACGAGGATTTCTGAGAAGCTCTGCCCTTGGGCGGCTCAAGTCACCCAGCACCAGCCGGGGTAGCACCCATGCAAACATCTGCTAGCAGGACCCAGAAGCAGCACAGCCTGACTGCACACGGTGAGAACTGAGTGTGAGGGCACGAACCTCACAGCGACCCCAGCTGCCCAGGCACACGGTGAGTGCACAGCATCAGCGCTGCGGCTCTTACCTTCACGGAGTTGTAGAAGGCTTCGAACACACCCACACTTTTGGCACTCAGCTGGAGGTTGACAGTTCCTTCCATTGTCAAAGACACTCCCTGATGTTGGACAGAGTCCTTGCTAGAGATGACCACCACACCAGAGAGCACTTCCTGGGGACAAGAGGCAGCGTCCAGTCAGAACAGCACCTCTCCCTGAACAATGCTGTTCAGAGATCCACACATCTATGCAGATGTCACAACCCTTCCCACCCTCTCCAGCAACAGTGATATCAGGCCTGGACAGAGGAGGGTGCTCTGGGCCCTTCCCCAATGCCACCTTCCAGATACTCCCCCAGTCCTGGCTTGTGAGATCCCACCTGAAGTCTGATTCAGAAATCCTGCCAGCAAACAGTACTGCGAAGGCACGATGGCACAAAGCCGCTCACAACAAATCAAACAGCGAAAGAGAGACAGTAGTGGAGGTCAGCCCACACCGAGACCGGAAGACAGTGTACCACATCTTGTGCTCTGTGGGTTTCGGGGGCAGGGTGAACCTGGTGTCTATGAAATGTACTAAGTATTTGTTTCCACTACCTACTCCAGAGCCCTAAAATCCACCTGAGAACAGGGCCAACAAGATGGTGCGGTGGGTAAAGACACTTGCTGCCAAGCCTCATGGCCTGAGTTCAAGTCCTGGGACCCACATGATGGGAGAAAGCTGACTCCCACAAGATGTTCCCTGACCTCCACATACCCAATCACATAAATAATATTTCTGAATAATCAGTATTATTTCATTTTATTTACAATCAAAGCCTTTTACATCAGACTCCCAGGAGAACTTTATATTCTTAGAACATAAAAATGCCATAAGCAGATTTACATGAAAGTGCCTCTGAAATAATTTAGCTTCTAAATTTAATTTTAAAATAATTCCAGGGATACCTTTAATCCCAGTACTCAGGAGGCAGAGGCAGGCGATCTCTGTGAATTCAAGGCCAGCCTGTCTAGAGTGAGTTCCAGAACAGCCAGGGCTACACAGAGAAACCCTGCTTGAAAAACAAAACAAAACAAAAAGCAAAATAAAAATTAATACTAATTTGTTGATAAATCAGGCATTCTTTTTTTTTTTAAGATTTATTTATTTATTATGTATACAGAAGAGGGTTCCATCTCATTACAGATGGTTGTGAGCCACCATGTGGTGCTGGGAATTGAACTCAGGACCTCTGGAAGAGCAGTCAGTGCTCTTAACCTCTGAGCCATCTCTCCAGCCCAAATCAGGCATTCTTATAATATATACTATGCAATTCCTATTTTTTAAAAAAAGCTCTCTCCCCACTCTTACCCAGACACTCAAAACAGAGGAAAGGAGATGCACAGCTCTGGAGAGCATCCACGCCTCACGTGGACACTGGACAGGGGCCTTCAGCTGAGGACATCTCACAGAGAAACCCCTACAGGTGTGTGGTGTTTAGGGAGGAGAGTCATGGCCTTTGCCATCCTAAGAAAGCTGAGATAACTGGAAATGAGACGGAGGGAGAACGCAGCTCCATGCTGTACGTATGCAGAAAGCATAGAAGGCAGGCAGAATGTTCTAGACTATACACCATACCCTCTATGCAGACACTCGAACCTGTGTTCTTCATCAAAGTAGGCAGCATGGCCGCCTCACTGACCTGGAGAAAAACTCAACCCTTCCTTGAGGCAAAGGGCCAAAGTGCCAATCCGCCACCTATGGCACAGGGGTTCATTCTCTGCTCTGGAGACACTGGAGGTGGACCAGGACCTCAAGCCCACCCTTAACCAGATCCAGCTACAGTGTTTTACATACATGTATGCACATGTATGCACTATGTGCATGCCTGGTGCCCTTGGAGGTCAGAAGAGGGTGTGGGATCCCCTGGAACTGGGATCCTGAGCTGGCTGTAAGCCACTAAGTAGATCCTGGGAATCAAACCAGGATCCTCTACAAAAGTAGCCAGTGCTCTGAACCTCTGAACAACCTCTCCAGCCCTGAGCTTTCATTTTTAAACAGCATTACAGTTTTGCAACTTTTCCTTATAAAGAATGAGCTGTTGTGTATAAGGTTTCTCCTATGTATGTATGTATTTATTTATTTATTTTGAGACAGAGTTTCTCTGTAGTTTTGGTGCCTGTCCTGGATCTCACTCTGTAGACCAGGCTGGCCTTGAACTCACAGAGATCCACCTGGCTCTGCCTCCCGAGTGCTGGGACTAAAGGCATGTGCCACCACCACCCAGCTCTTCTCTTTATTTTTTAAGAAGTTACATCCATGCCAAGTAAGGCAAAATGAACCGAGTTCTGGGGTCTTTTGAGAGGAGGTAGGTAACAGTAACCAGCCCATGGCACAGGAATCCCCTGTCATAATAACCTGGCTATGCTGGGAGTATACTTCCTTTATATTTCACAGCTGTAATATTCAATGGTGTCACTTTCATGAGTACATGTATCAGATTTAAGAATAAGGCATTCTGAATTCATAAAAACAATGAGTTATATTTACATTACGGGAAGATTTACTGCAGGGTTCTTCTGGCCAATAAGCTCGCCCAGTGCACCAAAGACATCATGTAACTCACAATGTCATACACATTTTTGTTCAAGTACCTGTTACTGCACCACACAAAGAATAGAGGATCACCACCTTGGGGCTCAAAGGTGCTAGAATCTGTACACCCTGCTTGGATGCTGACCCTTAGTCCTCCAGTCCACAGCAGGCAGGGATCTGGCAACAGTGCACTGCTCAGCAGGCACTTGGGATGCCACTTGTGGAGTATGCGGCCATATTCACATCATGGCAGAATAGTTCTAGGGTGAACAAACTACAGGGTGTAGGGAAAAAATAAAACAATATGACCACTTAGCATGTGAGCCTCTACCATGGGTCAAATTTATGGTTAGCCCGGAAGTACCATCTCTCAATTCTGAAAATACAGCATTTGAGTAAGTGCTGTTTCCTTCCTACAGATGAGAATTAAGACCCAGAGTCCTAGACTTAGGAATAAAAGGATGGTGACTCCTGACTGCAATCCCAACACTCCAGGTGCTACTACAGGGGGACTGCTGCAAGTTCAAGGAAAGCCTCAGCTACAGTGAATTCCAGGTCAACCTGAGTGACAGACAGACTGAAAAAACAAGGAAGTACCTGACGCCAAGTACTACCCAAATTTGATCCCCAGGACACACGTGGTGGACAGGAAAGTGGACTGACTCAGTGTCTGTCTCTTACACACACTAACATACACATATAAATAAGTGCTATTATGAAATAGTACTAGTTATACACTCCCACAGAAAATTAAAAATGTTGGTGGAAATATGGAATTAGAAGTCAAGTTTTCAACCTAATGGGAAGACCTTTAGAAGATGGCCTGGGAACAAGGCTGCAAAGGCTACATGTCTTGGGATGAACACCCCAATTTATTCTTTGTTCCCCAAGTACAGGGAAAACCTTATTTACAGGAATCCTAAAATCTCTACCCCTATATTTATTTTAGTCATCCTCTTAAGAATGACTAGTTTCGCCGGGCAGTGGTGGCGCACGCCTTTAATCCCAGCACTCGGGAGGCAGAGCCAGGCGGATCTCTGTGAGTTCGAGGCCAGCCTGGGCTACCGAGTGAGTTCCAGGAAAGGCGCAAAGCTACACAGAGAAACCCTGTCTTGAAAAACCAAAAAAAAAAAAAAAAAAAAGAATGACTAGTTTCAAAATTAAAGAAAAAAATAAATAATAATAATAATAATAATAATAATAATAATAATAAAAAGGTCTTTGGCCAGGCGGTGGTGGCACACACCTTCAGTCCCTTGGGAGGCAGAGGCAGGTGGATCTCTGTAAATTCGAGGCCAGTCTGGTCTACAGAGACAGTTCCAGGACAGCCAGAGCCACATAGAGAAACCCTGTCTCAGAAAAACAAACAAACAAAAGAATGACTAGTATCTAGAATAGTATTCATACATATAAAGTAGAATGTACATATGTACAGGTACAGTATACATACTGTACCTATATAGTTCTTTTCTGATTAATGCCTATAAAAATCAATTAACAGTTTTTCAACACCTATTAAGTAGCAGGTACTGGATACAAAGGTTAAAAATAAATAAGAGGGGCTATTTCAGGCTGGGTGTGGTGGCGCAAGCCTTTAATCTCAGCACTCTGGGAGGCAGAGGCAGGGGCACCTCTGAGTTCCAGGGCAGCCAGGAATACACAGAGAAACCCTGTCTCGAAAAAACAAAACAAACAAAGAAATAGAAAAAATAAGGGCTGATTTTTGCTGTATCCAAATTATATCTCTAGAGTGTGTGTATCTGTATATAAATTTTATCTCTACAAAACTATTACCTGGGGAAAAAGTAGAGCCACACAGCTCTCAACTGGACTCAGAACTGTTAGGTTTTTTGCTACATTTACATTTGCTACATTTGGTCTGTACACACAGGCAGGTACACATGCACACCCACACATATTATGGCTAGACCTTCTGAGTTACTATGGCAAAGTTCAGCACATGGAAGGGGCTCCCTCTTAACTAAGATACACTTGGGAAATTCAACACTGATACAAAATTACTGCTTTACAAAGTTGTGCATTGTATTTTGGTCATCCCCTTTAGTGTAGTTTCATCTTAAACAACTTACTGCCTTACCTTTAAAAACTATTTCAAATTATGTGCACACACTTGTGTGAGTGGCTATGTGCATGTGAGTGCAAGAGGTGTCAAGACTCCCTGGAGTGGGACTTCCAGGTGGTCGTGAGAACCCTGACATGGATGCTGGGAAGCCAACTTGAATCCTCTCCAAGATAAGTAGCTGCTCTTAACAGCTGACCCATCTCTCTTATCTTTTCTGATGAGACAGGATCTTACGGATCCTGGGCTTGCATAAAACTCAATATGCAGCTGAGGACGCCCATGAACTTTTTGATCCTCCTACCTCTAACTCCCCAGTGTTAAGAGTACAGGACCCACCACCACATCTGGTTTTACACAGCACCGAAGACTGAACCCCGGGCTTTGTGCACGCTGGCAACAATTTTACCATCGGAGCCACTTCCTCAGCTCCAGGTTTTCTTAAGAATGTGGCAACAGTTGGACAGTATCCCTGAACTGAGGCAGGCCAGACAGTTTCCTTTATGAACCGATTAACTATTTCGGCAGTGATCTAGCATCTTGCCATTGAGTCCAGAGTCCCTTTTATCAGGGGTGATGGTACCTTGGTGGCGTTTGGGTTTTTGGTTTTGGGGGGAGGGGTCTTGGAATGTTGACAGCTGGACAAAAAAACAAATGTGGCTTTGTGTCCAGAGGGTGGAAGTGGGGTGGGACACTGGAATCTTTATAACTATCACGTTTCCACTTTTTAGCATCCGTTTACGATGTTCACCGGGATGTTTCCCTTTTCGGCGCCGCCCTGCTTTTTGCATGACCGGACACTGCACTGAACTGTGTGCAGACGCTAGCCGGATGTTACAATCGCTCGTGTCTCCGCGGGTAGAACCAGGGCGCTCGCACTCTACAACTCTCTAGGGTGACGACTCCTGACGTGACGACAGGCTTCGGAGCAGAGTTTTGCATTAGGAGCGACCAGGGCCCGAAGCACACCTTGTCTGTTTTCAAGGCTCTTCTGCACCGGCTCGGGCCCGGGCCCCGCCGCCCGCCCGCAGACGCGCCCCCGGCCCCACAGCACGGGGCCGCAGGGCACGCGCGCCGTGCCGGGGACGGCGGAGCCCGCGGCCCGACCCCTCCACTTACCCCGGCGTGATACACTTTATTCGCTCTTTTAATCTTGATGTCCAGGGAGGTCCCCATCTCGGATTATCCGCAGAGGCCGCAGCGTCCCGGCACTCGTGACCCGGCCGCCCCGCCCACTGCCCCGCCCCTCTCCCGCTCCTTCCGCAGTGGCGCCACGTGACCCTCCCTCCTTCCGGTACAGGAGCGGGACTTACCGCGAACAGGGGCACGGAACACACACTCACGCACACACACACACACACACACACACACACACACACTTCCGGGAAGGCTGTCGGGAGCTCCCAGTTCTCCCGGCGTGCCCCGCGGCGGGGGGGAGGGAGCGAGGCGAGGCCGCTTCGCGGCGGCGCTTTCCACACCGGAAGGCTGCTTTCCCGTCAGGCTATGCGCGGAGGGCTGCGCGGTGGAGGTGGGTTTCCGGAAGCGACAGCAGGAGTGTGTCCCCGCCTGTCAGCGGCTTCCTCCTTCCCGGTAGCGACGTCCGTTTCCTGACATTCGGAGGCGCCCGCCCCCGGGCCCTCGCAGCGGGGCCCTCCGAGCCAACCGCAGGGGCGTGGCCCCGCGCCAGCGGCCCGCCGTTCGCTGATTGGTGGAGGGCGCCCCGGCCACGCCCTCCGGCCACGCCCGCGGCGCCCGGCCAAGGTCTGGGGAAGCGCCGGGTGACCTCGCTCCGCCGCGGGCCGCGCGCCGGGTCCCCGCCAGTCGGGCTCGCGGCCGGCCGCAAGGGCTTCCGAGTGGGGGGGGGGCACCCCGGCCGCTGCGCCCGCAGGAAGGCCGGCTTCCGAGCTGAGACGGACCTGCGTGCTCGCCTGCCTTCCAGCAGCCTGCCGCAGTGGGCGCCGGAAGTTCAGGGAGGCTACTTCCGCCAGCCGGCGGTTCGCCCGCGCACGGGTTGCTGAATTCCGACCTCTCGTCAATGTGTGAACTGGACTCTTCCAATAAGCAGAAGGGCAAATCTTAATGTTTCGTTGCCTAAAATGATGTGGTGGGGGAAATGGCACTGGTTTAAATTCCTTGATTCTGATTATCTTCAATATATATCACTTTTAAGATAACATGTCTCTGTAAAAAGGTTTCGTGAATGTCAAGAGCTGTGCTCTTGAGGTGTTCCGTAGGCCGAAAGGGATGTACGGCGGCTGCAGTTGCTTTTGAAGGTTAAAATAAGATGTCTCTGAGTATTAAGGGGCCCGTTTTCAGCTCTTCCCCTACCATCAGGACCTTCCCGTGTGTCTTAAAGACTTTCTCAGCGATTCTAAAACAAGTCACTTGGGACTTAAAATCACAGTCTAGAGTATTTGCAAATCGAGAAGTAGATCCTGGTTCTCCCAGACTCAACCACCATTTTCAGTTTGTGGGATGGGGGAAGTCTCAGTGCAGGGAAAGGAAAAGAAAAGTCGCTTTCCATGTATCCACATTCCAGGCTTATTGCAGCAAACAGGCTCCGTTCTCGTACAGATTCTTGTTCTCCAGGGCAGGCGTGCCAGATTTCCTCTTTGAAGGTTGCACACATGATTAAGTACTGTAAAGATCTCCTTCCAAGAATTACCTGTGTTATTGAGTCTTATGCAGTGGCTTCCGAACAATCCTAAATTCATTCACCCGAACACCAATCTCTCTGAGTTTTCTTTCCATCCCTTAATCTCACATTAGGTACCTAAGACCGCTTTGGGTCAGTTTCAGCTACTAAATATCAGACTATGACAAAGTGACAATCTTGTGACCCAGTGGGACCCTAGGTCTTTTGCAGGAGTAATAAAATCAAAGTTGTGATTGTGACGTCGAAACAAAGAGGAAGGAGGCAAGCATCCTAGCAGACCACAGCTGCGAGCCTCCGAACTGACCCCTGCTTTTCTGTATAACGGCTGGTGTCTGAACCCAGACAGTTTCCTGGGAGATCTGTCTCCAGCTTGTCTTTTCTGTCACCCCACTGCCAGCATCCAACAGTACACCCTGTGGAGAGCTATTCCTGAAAGATGGTTCAAGACCATTTAATCTTCCACGGGGTTCTCTTGACTCAGTGAGTAAGGGCACTTGCCACCATATCTGTTGGCAACCTGGGTTCCATTCCTGGTGAAAGGAGAGAACCAACGCCCACAGGTTGTTCTCTAACCTCCACATGTGCACACGCAGTCAATAAAAGTTTATTTTTTAATATTACACATCTTGCCGCACAGGAGACTGTCTTGTGACCGTTCCACACTGCCGTCCCTGTTTGGTCATCTTGTTCTCTCCTGAAACATGAGAGTAAGCTAGCATGGTGATGACACCGACTCGCCTGCCAATGGGCTCTGCTGGTGCCTGTGAAAGATCATCCTCCCAACTGGATCACTTCCCACCACTAGATCACAGGGCCCCGGTCTCCTTGTGTTCACTCCTGGGCCTTTCTGTATCAACCAGGGAGAGGGAGGATTCAGAAGAAAATTGGTGGGAGCAGAATTAGATGTACATCTTTTTATTAAGTGTTGGAAAATAACTCTTCCCCCACCCCCACCCCACCCCCGGAGCTGAGGACTGAACCCAGGGCCTTGTGCTTGCTAGGCAAGCACTCTACCACTGAGGTAAATCCCCAACCCCTGGAAAATAACTCTTGATTGTAGCCATCTTTCAGGGATACTATATCTTAGTTCCTTTTTAAGTTTTTGTATGTTATGGGTCTTTTGCCTACATGTATATCTATGCACACCTGTGTGCCCAGTGCTCATGGAAGCCAAAAGGACATCAGATCTGGAACTAGAGTTACAGATAGCTGTGGTGCTGGGATTCTAACCAGGCCCTCTACAAGAGCAGCTGGCACTTTTAGCTGCTGAGCCATCTCTCCAGCCCCTGGTTTCCTTTGTCGCTGTTGTGATGACGTCCATGGCAAGAAGCAACTGAGGGAAGGAAGGGTACAGTCCATCGTGGTGTGAAAGTCCCGGCAGCCGAAGCTTGAGGCAGCTCATCGCATCCACAGTCGGGAAGCAGGAAGAGCAAAACTGGTAGTTAACTAGCTTCTCCTTCCGTACCGTCCAGAACCCTGACCAGTGTTATATTTTGTGCCATCCACACTTAAGGGAATCTTCTCACTTCAATTAGTCTAGAAAGTCCCTCACAGACTCGCCCAGATATAAATCTCCAAGGTAATTCTAGAATCTGGTCAAGTTTACAATATTAACCATTACGCTAGTGTCCAGTTATTAGTTTCCTGGCAATTCTGGGTCAACAGCAACAGTCCCACTGGGCATTTTTAACTAGGTTCTCTCCTTTGGGCCCTTGTAAGGACTGGAGGACAGGCTTCCTGAGCTGCTGGTGATTTAGTCTCAACAGCTCTCAACTACATCACTCTTCAAAACTTGCCTGTAACTAAAGTGAACTTTCCCCGAGGTCATACTTCCTTTTCAAAGGCAACCTATGTCTGATGACTAATGGACTCAGGATATGAAGACCGTTCCTTTTTCCCCAGTTCAGGACAACTCTGAAGGATTGTTCGGGTCCAAAGCTCCCTCTGCTATCAAGTGTGGCACAACAAATTATCCAGTAGTTTGAAACAACAAACATAATATTGAAATGTGCAGGCCAGGGACAACTGGATGACTCTGGCCCAAGGTCTCTGGTAATTTGGGTTAAGATGTTGGACAGGACTACAAACTTATGCTACATTCTGAACATTACAATCTTTTCACCCGAGGAAGGGAATAACAAAATGAAAGCACTTTTCCTAAGGTTTGTGAGAGTCTGGCTGTCACCCCTCCCAACTCCAGAGATGACACAGGTCATCTGATCACTGTGCTTTGTGCTCACTGTAGGTGCCGGGATAAAGGACTGCCAATCAAATAGGAAAGCAAGCAGAGGTGCAGTGTCATAGGAAAGGGCGATTGTAAAGTAAATAGAGGTGGGAGTTTCATCAGCTGACAGTGAAGGTGGGTCATCATAGGCTACAAACTTGAAACGCTGTCAACAGGGTTGATGGTCTTTGAGGATGACGGGGGGGAGGGGGGTGTATTTGTACCAGGCCTTTCTCGTTGGCTGTCTTCCTGGGTCTCTACATGGTTGTTTGTTTTTAATACCTCTTTGTTGTCACATGCACCCACCCTCTCTACACTTGCTCTCTTAGTAAATACCCTAGCCCCTCCTACACTAATGACCACTTTTTAACTTAATGCTCTCTGTAAAGACCTTATTTCCAAATACAATGACATTCTGAAGTCTAAGATTCAAGTCCTAGGGGTTAGGATTTGAATTTGGCAGGGACACAATTCAACTTAAATTTGTAGCAGTAAAATATATGTAACAGAAATATAAAGGTAAGTGGGCTGAGACAATTGGTAGATTTTAACACTACTCAGTTTTCCATGGTGGATTAAAAGTGAAGGCATAAAGAGTTCCAAGGAACAGAGTAAGAAGTGAAACAAACAAGCAAGACAGCCTGGCCTGCCTGGTGAGCTCCACCAGTGAGAAGTCCCGGCTCAAAAAAAAAAAAAAAGTACAAAGTAAACGTAGATGACCAGCACTTGGCCTCCAGAATCAGCATTTGGACACACACATGCAAACAAAAATGTTGATCCTTATTGAAGGTGGGGTGAGGACTTTTGTACACACTTGAATTTTCTCACAGGAGATAGGATAAATCATTGAGTCAGGTGACATTTTTTAAATATAAGCCTAAAGTATTTTTAATTCTTATCATTCTTAGTAGGTTCCTCCCAACTCTCGAACATACTTTATCTAAGATCATAGAATGTGTGATGAACAAGATGACCGACCAAATACTAAAAATACCAGTCTAAAGGAAGGACTATAGAAAGAAGAAAGAGAGAGGAGGTCCTGGGGTCACATCTGACAGCCCCTGTGGAGTCAGTGACCCACCTGGGGATGGAGGAAGGCAGGGCTGCAGAAACCATGACGGGATGCCTGAGAGGCTGAGGGAGGAAAGGAAAGACTGATAGAATCAGCAAGGGTGAACTGTGGGCTGACTTCGCTAACGTAGCGTTCCAGCCGGAACCAGTCCTTCTTGTAGCTTGTGGCCCACGCACTTGTGGCCCACTCACTGCTCAGCTAGGCATGGTCAGATACATACCCAGCAAACATGGCCTTTATCCCAGGTGGAGAAGTCAGAAGGCAAGGAGATGGGATGTGAAGAGAAACATCTCAAACGCTTACCAGTTGAGCTCCGGCTGGTGGCAAGAATGATTTTTCCCTTAGTAGAAATGGTTACTGGAAAGCCAAACTGGGTTAATTTATAGAGAAATGACTGCCTTTTTTTTTTTTTTTGGTCATTTCTGTGTTGTGCTTGTGAATGTTGAAATAACTATATATACAAAAATCAATAGGCCTTTCTAGTTACAGCAATAAGCAGGAAATGAAATGAAGATAGGGAATACATTCTCAATAGCAATAAAAACATAAAATATTTGCAGTCATTGGAATGTGATGTATGCTGGAGCCATATGAATAAGGTCACAATGCTGAGTTGAGCCATTTCACATGGAGAGGTATACAGTGTTTCTGAACAGGAATGCCAAACATTTAAAAATGTCCAATTAAGCCG